ATTTCTACTCCCTTTCTTTGGGTCTGCTTTGGCTCTGCATTCCCCACCCTACAGGTCTATGCACTATTTTGTCTATTTCTGTAAACCTAAGTTGTTGTTGGAGGTTTTTTTAAGTTTGATTCCCCCAACACTCCTCATTCACTTAAATAAATGTTACAGTCTGTGCCAACGCATAGAGGGGTTGGAAAAAATTACCAAAAATTCCCTACATCATCTTTGTGTTTGGAATAAATGTATTGAGGAAACCATGGTCTAACACACCCTAATCCTCTTTTGGGTTTGGCCTTTGGTAAACTACATGGTTATTTTACAATCACAGAAACAACGATCTTAACCTCTTCTTAGTGTGACCTCCTCCAGATCCACCAAACTTGGCAGATTCTCCACAAAAGGGGGTTTTGGTCTGGGCTTTCATGTAAGCAGTTCAGGCTGTTCATGAGTGAACCAACCCCTCCCATGCACAGTTTGGAACATGCCCAAGGCAGGTTGCTTCTAATGCCTGCAGGCAAAGGGGTCACTGTAATACCAGATGGAGAAATAAACCCTAACCAGTGTGTGTGCAAATCAGGCACAGGTAGGATCTGCATGTCCTCTTTGAGCCAGAGCAGGTAGATTATCTGCTCTCTAAGCTTCTCAGTCGTTGGTGGCAGCAAAGCCCAAATCCAGGAGCATTTTGAATTCCAGGTCAGAGATCAACCCCAGCCCAGTTGACTCCTGGTCTCTCTTTTCTGCATCATGTTTGGAACGTGTCAAAAGCTGCACAAACTAAACACAAGACCATCTGCTTAGCAGCAACAGCAGCTCCTTGTCCTCGACTTCTAGCCTTAGAAAATCCCTTGTCTTGGTCCTGCTGACCACATTAAGAACGAGTTCAGCAGGAAGGACGAGAGCTCTCCAGAGTAATTCCCAGCAGGACCCCACGGGGAAGCCTGGAGCCTGCCTTGGCGCCATGCTCAAGAAACAGAGCGTGCAGTGTGGAGAGCCCTTCAGAGAGCAGCCAGGAGCACAGGGGGAAGCACAAACGGTACCTGCAGCAGCTTTCAGCAGCAAATTCAAATATCGGGGCAGGCGTTTGCTGAGGCGATAGCAAAGCTGTGAGGCTGCCCTGCCTCCCCTCCCCACAGCTGCACAAAGACTCAGTAAGTCACACACAGAGAATGCTTGAGCAGTGGAGGTGCAAAATGGAGCGTATTAACTGAAGCTTTTAATAAGATTTTGATAACAATGATTTTTATGTTAATCTCTAAAGAGTTTGCTTTTGTAACATGTAACTGATAAGCATATAATCTAGTTTTAATTTAATCTCTGCAGGTGTTTCCCGATGGTAAATGTTAAATTTTTATTGCTTCCTTAGGCAGTAATAATAGGAGAAATGTCTGTAGGGCTCCCACCATCCATTTGTATGCAGATAGCATCATATTTTATAATAGCTGTAAATCTGACAGGATAGACTCTTACTGTTGAGATGATATTATAAATATGTGTCAACACTGAATAAACATCTTTGAAAGGAAAATAAAATAGAGATGTTATTAGAGGTCTAATGAAACAACCATAGCTGCTTATTTATAAGAGATGTATGCGCACATCCTTGGAAAAAAGTAGAGCCCATGCTGGGTTTGCAGCTTTCTGATGAGCAGGACATGGAGATTCTCAGCAGGGTCCTGCAGACAATGCAGAAATAGATCCTACACTTCATAAAGATGATGACTGTCTATAAACCTCTAAGTGTTTGTTCTCTCTGAGGTTTCAAAATGATTATAAATACCACGGTGTCTAAGACTCAATTATGGCTTCTTTCATACAGCTTAGGAGCACAGCACGTCAGGAGCTCCCACATGAAGAACCATAAGACACCAAGTACAAGGAAGTGCACCCTGATGCCTGCCTGAGGTGTAATGCAAACACATTTTGGGCAAAATTCACTCAGTATGAGATCTGATAGGGACTTGATCCCTTACATCTTACACTTAGCCTTATTCACTGAGCATGCATGAAACTTGCCCTTGTTCACATTGAGTATTTTAAAGCCAGCAACACTTTCTTTAAGATGCATTTTCCTCAAATAATTTTATCTGTTCTGCAGCAAATGTGGCTCTCGGGCATGCTGTGCTCACTGTGTCCATAGGCACACCTCAGGGACCCAGCAGCACAGGCAGAGATTTGAGCTAAAAGATTCCTAAGATGGAACTGGCTTGGCTCCAGCCAGGGGAGAGCGTGGCAGAGAGAGCTTCAAGCTGTCTTTAACTCTCCTGTAGAGGCATGCCCTGGAAAGGATTACACTTTAACAGAAGTCTAGATATTTCCTCAATGGTGCTGTGATATGTGGCTCCCAAGGTCCACATCATTAGTCATAAAAACAAACAACCTGAAACAAAAAATACACACAAGTTCGTTTAAGTCCCCAGTGACAGGGAATGGGAATACAGCTCACTGCCACTGGAGGGGGGAAATTTGAAAACCTGCCACATAAGCAAGTCAAAAAAAACCAAAACACTTTTTGCTGGTGAATTAAAGTTACACAAACAGCTCAGACAATTTAGGGTAAACAATTCTTGCGTCTATTGTAAGTCAGAACATGTATGCTGCTTTAGGGTGGTAGTTTAAATGCAGTATTGTTTCTTCTGCTAGTCTTTAAAAGTAAAAAAATATTTGTTATGGAGACTTTTTAATAAATTGGTAGTAATTAGAAAGAAAACTCCAATAATTTTCTACAGAAAGACAACATGAGGCCAAATGGAAAGTCAGACATGCCACTCCCTTTCCTGACTAAATTCAAAGCCAAAGAGGATCTGCCGCATTGTGCCATGGAGAGGGCAACTGTCAAAAAAACCCCAAAACATCACATTAAGCATATTGATTAGTAAGAATTAAATGCATTACGAGGCATTGGTAAGATTCAGATATATAAAGTGTTTAGCTCTCTCCTATCTGCTCGTTGTTTTCACATCAGATTTTGTAAAAATACAGTTTAATCTGTGTGACTCCTTTAGACTGAGGATTCAATAAAGGAGACTCCTCATGAAGTGTTTGCAGTCAGCCCCTGCAGCTGCACAGTGCCAATGTCCCAGGCCCACTGGGCTAGTGCTGAATACAGAACCCAGGCTGGTACCCTCTGTTATAAATGCTGCACCATGTCCTTGTGCCATGACAGATAAAGTGGAATATTTTACTAATCAAGTGTGCAAAATGACAGGAGTCAGGCATAATGCTGTGTTTCTGACAACTTAGGTAAATCTTTCCCATGATAAATGAGTTGTGAATCTCCCATAAGAAGTATTTAAACAGATGGATAATCACCACAGCAACCAAAACCACCACAGAGTCATTCAGGAGCATTTCATCTCTGCACACACACTGTCAGGTTTCATGCTATAAGGAGGCAATATTTTATGTAACAGAAGACTAGCCAATGCTTTTAGGTAACTCACAGCATGGGTGAGAGAGGAAGGAGACCAGCTCAGTTTTCAACAGGTGAATACAAAACCTTATCAAATGTGACTGAAAAAAGTTGGGTCCTGGGAAGCTTACAGAGGCAGACATAATACCTGCTTTTAGAGAGTCTGAACTTTGTAAGGGAACTGGATGAACTGGAAAATGCCAATTTGTCTAATTAATGTGCTTTTAAGTCTAGCCATTTGAGATTATGTTTTTATTTGATCATTCTGTTTGTTATTAATTTGAATATCTCTGAAGCATGTTTATGTCTGCTGCTTCTTCTGAGACAGGTTTCCAAAATGAGGAGCACCCTCCATTGGATTAATACGCAGTAAAATCATAATAATTTTCTGAAATCCTGAAAGGCTGAAGTCTGATAATCTTTTTAAAAACAAGAATTCCAGTTTCTTTTTAAACATGTAAAAATCTGAACTGATTTACGCTCATCAAGAAACAAAATATTTTGCCAGTTTTCACTGCATACATTTTCAGAAATTCAATAAAAAATTATGATTTCTCTATATAATAATTTAACAATATTATGTATTTTGTGGCTGAAAGACTGAACTTCTTAATGAACCATTAGATCTGCAGAAAATGTGAGTGCTATAACACATGCCTAAGTTGGAAAATATACTTTTTAGAATTTCTTTATTTAATGTCTTCCATTACTTTAAATATGTTATTTCCTGTTCTGGATTGTTTAATGATGTTATTGTGAAACACTCATGGCTGCTGTGTTTATTTCACCACGGACGTGTGTTCATTTCACTGAAGGGTAAAGCTTGGTAATAGGTAAAAGATTTTGCAATCCTGTACTGGGTGGCTCAATATAAACCTCAATTATCCACTTGACTTGCAACAAAAACATTTTGCTGTACTAAAGATTTTGAAGTTTGGGGTGATACTGGGTGGTGATTACACATGGATTTGTTTTTATTATACACAGGGGAAGTTGGGGAAGAAAGCAAATGAAGATGGTATACTGGATAACTCACATGATATAGTGGATAATGCTCAGAACGAGCTGAAGTCCACAAAGTGCCTAGCTGAATGAAAGCACATTAAGTAAATAAGAGGAATAAAGAACAAAGGCACGAGCATGGAAGTGTTTACAGGGACAGCGTGTCCCGTTTAAGCCGTGCTGCTGGCTGAGCAGGCGGTCACGCCTGGGTGTTCGCTGGCAAACCCTCCTGCTCGGGCTCGGCCCGGGGGTGACACTGGCCCACCCTTCCAGCGGGACCTGCCCGCCATGGGCGGCATCGGGGCGAGCCCGCAGGGCAGAACACACGGGAGCCGGGAGAGGGGCAGGAGCCCCTCCGGGACGGGGCCGGACCCCGGGAGCCGTGCCACGAGGCGCAGTATCGTTAAAAACACCTCCCGCAGGTGAGAGGCGCCGGGCCGGCCGCTGCCCGGGGAGCCGGCGGTGCTGCCGGAGCAGCGCCGAAGGCCGCGGTACCGAGCCCGCCCGAGCCCGGCGTGCCGGGGCAGCCCCGACATGGCGGCGGGGGCGGGCGGCGGGCGGGGCGGTGACGCGGCGGCGGCGGCGGCCGGTCGGTCCCAGCAGCCCCAGCGCTGCCCGCAGTGACGGGCGGACAAAGGGGCGCCGCGCCAGCCCGCACCAGCGGCCCCGGGCGGGTGAGTCGGGCCGGGGGGTGACAGCGGGCACGGCACGGGGCGGGCGAGCGGAGCGACACCCGCGGCCCGGCCTGGCCCGTCCCGGGCCGCGCGTCCCCGCGGGCCGCCCCTGCCGCCCCTGCCCTCCGCAGGCCCTGCGGGAGCGCGGCGGGGCCGGGACGGGGAGCGGGGCGGCGGCCGCGCTCCGAGGTTCCGGCCTGGAGCCGCTGCCCCGCGGGGCCGGGGCTCGCTGCGGGCGGTGCGGGGCCGGCGGCGGGGCCCGGGGGTCGCTCCGAGGGGCGGCGGAGCGGGGCCGGGGCTCGCCGCGGGCGGTGCGGCGGGCCCGGGCCGGGGGCGGTGCGGCGGGGCCGGGCCGGCTGCGGGAGGCGCCGTTATCGCGCAGCTGCCTCTGCCCGTATCGCTGCCGCTCCTCGCTGGAGAACAAAGAGGATCAATTAAGAGTGTGCAATTACCGCCGTGCCCTGCCGGCAGCAGGCACGGCTCGGAACGCCTTGGCTCCCGTCGCTCTCCCAGGGCAGAGTGCTCCCCTCTGTTAAGCCGAGGCGGTTTGGGGCCACGCAGCGCTAATGAGCACAACACACGTTTAAAAATCAGCCAGTTTAGTGCATTAAACACAAACTTAAAGTGGGGAAATAGAGACTAAAGCACATGTGCCCTTGAATGTCTTCTCTAGGATCCTTGCGAGCCTGTAGCAGAATGGATCAGAAGCAATGCACAGCTGTTACTTAATTTTTCACTGCTTTTCATGCCTCTTAGTTGTATTTGGGTATTTCCTTTTGTTAGTCACCTTTTCAGCATTTAAAACAATAATGTGGTCCTAATAAATTTTGCTGTCAGTGTCAGCAGGATTTATGCCTGTGGTCATCCATGGTAATAGTTAATGCTCTGAGACTATTTCATTTTACAGCATCCTGAACACAGTTACTGGTGACATTTCTCATCATCCTGTGGAGGGGTAAACAGTAGCAGTTTTGCAAAGTATCAGAGCAGTTCTGCGGGCTCAGAGGGGACCTTCCGCCTACTGAAATACTTTGTAGAATGTGTGCGCCTTCATAGATCAGCAAATTGAGGTGAGGTTAACCAACTTGCTCAAGGTCATAGAGTGTCAGTGACAGAGTTAGCAACAATGGAATCCAGCCATCCTGGCTGCTGCCTCTGTGCTCTCATCATTGAGTGACGCTCCCAAATAATTGCAGGTAGTTTAAACATTGATTTGCGTAAGTGCTCGTTGAGGCCTTCAAAACATTTTGGAGAAACAAAATGTTTATGGTGTGCTTCAGATCCCATGCTGCATTTGCATGTAGCTTAAGGTGATTGCTCAGCTTGGCATAGGAAGGAATTTTGAAGACTTTGTGGTTTATTTGGTAAATATGTGCTCAAAAAACATCAGTTTTACTGAGTATAAAGTGTGGAAAGACTTGTGTAGATTTAGGAGGTAGATCATGAGATGTAACAAAAGTAGATTACACTGTAGTTAGGCAACTTTTAAAGCAGCAGTGTGGAGGCATGACTGTAAAGAGATTTTCTTCTGAATGAAGTGTTTACCTGATGACATTCTGTAGAGTTATTTGCAGTTGTTATGAAGAAAAACAACCAACAAATGCCCTGGGAAGCCATGGTGATGAGGCTGTTGGAAGTTAAAATGAGAACAAAAAAGTTCCTGAGTTGATTTATTTATTCAACAGATACTTGTTAAGTAAAAACAAATCACAATGGATGTTATTTCTGACCCTGGAGAGAAGTTACGTTTCACTTTGTGTTTTTCTCTGTCAAGTTAAATTTATGAAGAAAGGGATTTCAAAGGAAACACTGGCAGATCTGTGCTATTGTGACACCAGCAGTATATATTTAGTAACTTCATGGAGGAAAGATCCCTATTGTGCTGCAAAAATACCAGTGACAATTGTTTGTCAGGACTTCAAAGGGCGCTGGGAAGTGAGCTGGCATTGTTCAGGTGTTGCACGCTGGCCTTGGCAAATGTTACCTGTGACAGATCCCTGCTCCTGTGGGAATTCCATCCTGGGAGAAGCTCACCTGTGCAGTGCAGATCACAGGCTGACACCACAGATCCTGGGCTGGGACAGATTTGCTTGTGCTTACCTTTATGTGCTGCAAGTAATCGTGGTGGCTGATTAATTCAGTGGTTGTGGTGCAGTGGGGATGCAGAAGAGCAGCAGCTGAGTTTCTGTTCGTGAACTCTCTGGGGTACATGACCTTGTTCTCACCATTAGAGCGGCTGTGGGGTTAATTTGGGCAAAGAAGTTGTGGTGATACAACTTTTGTTGTATTTGTGGTGATACAAACTTCCTCTGTAAAAGTGTTGCCAGCTTCTCGTTGATGGGAAGGGTGTGCTGTTATCGAGAGTATCAGTACTAAACCATCACATCTCCCTGTCACATGTGTGGTTTATCCATCAGTCTTTGGGAAAAGTGCTTTTACTGCTGTCACTTGGTGAGATGTCCCAACAAGGTGACTTGGAAGCTAAAGCTGTTGTCCCAAAAAAGGATGCTGGTTTGCTTGCTTAGGAATACAGAAATTTATACCCTGAATGACACTGCTGTGTCAGCAGATGTGTCTGCTGCAGGCCTGCCAGACATGACTTTTGTAAGTTGGGGCAAGTAGCTCCTCATCCAGCCAAGTTAAATAGGAAAAGGAAGCAATAATGGGATATTATTTTTTAAGATTGGTGGCTTTCCACGTGCAGGCTGTGGCATCCTGGGAGGTTTGCACAGTGTTTTCCATAGATGTCTAACAAAAATGAGCCTTTTGATAGGCATAGTGATCCATACCTCCTCTGATACTGAGAATTGTGGGGTTTTGGACACTGAACACTTGCCATGGACTGAGCTGAAGAAACTGAAGATGTGGGATGAAGCCAGGAATTGGAATGAAACATGTACAGTGTTTAAATAAAAAACTAAAGCATCAAAATCATACTGATTATTATAAATAATACTTGATGATTTTATTAAGCATAGTCAATTAAGTTGTGTAGCAGTAGCTTGCTGTTGGTTTAATGGTAGCTGAAAACATTTATTTGAAAATTCCCTTTTGTTAATGTCAAAATTTGCCTGTATTTCTGTTACACATGGTGTGCAAAGTGTAGATAGATATGAGAACCAAAGATTCCAACATATTCTTACTGCATTGAGCTAACTTTGGTATAAGAAATTTAAATAAATCATCTTCTGCCTATGACAGGCATCAAAAGGTATTTTGTATTCCTGCGTGCTGGCAGTTTTTCCACATTAGCTTTTCATATAGTCTTAATATGTTTGACTGGAACAAGGAAACTCACTTTGCAATAGTGCATGAAGTTGTTAAAGAAATAATACTGACACTTGCTGTGCAAAGTCATTCCAGAGTTTGTTGATTCTTCTGAAACAAAAGGGATTCACTGTAATTCCAAGAAGCACTCAGAACCCAAATTGCCACTTAGAGAGCCATTTCTTTTTCTAGACTCTTCTTAATAAGGTAACAGAACATCAGCTTGGAACACTGTCATTGGGGATTTGTTTTCAGAATATTATTAGTAGCATTTCAGTGAAGTGGAAACAAACCTGTGCTCTGAAAAGGAACTGGATCATGGGGAAAGACATTCCTGTGAGATCCATGAACTTGAATTCTACATGGATAATTTGCTATTTTAATAACTAAATAAATAAAATTAAAAGCTTAGTTTGTGTATAAGAATCAGAACCTGTAAACCTGATGGTATGACAGATGTACTTTGTAAACACATGAATGTGTGTCATGTTTCAAGTATGGAATATGTATCTGGTGCTTGGAAATGTGATCGTTGTGATGTTTAGAATGCAGAAACAAGTGTTTGTTTTTGGTTGTTCATAATGTTTGGGCTATTTGCTGCTAGAAATGTCAGAAGATAAATTCTTTAAGGTGCAACTACCCAGTGTATTGAGCTGGAGAACAGGTAAAATGTACCTTATTCTAAAAACCTCTATAGGAAGTGGAAATGACATCTAATGAGTTAGTAGGAACTTGTTGTTTCAATGCTTTTTGCTACAAAGTTAGACCTCAAAGGACACCTTCAGTTTGATAATTAACCTATAGAAGCTGCAGTAAAATATGACCTTCTTGGGGGAGGAGAAAGACTTTGTTCTCTCTGTCATGTGTTGAGTCAATGGTATGTGTGCTGAGGAGTCTGGCCTTAATTTTATTTTATGAATTACATTTGAGATTGTTTCTTGGTTGGGTCATTGGTTCTGGTTTTAGTTCTGGAATGTCACTCAAAATAAAACAGCTGTGGGGGGTGGCAGAGGGAGAGTTGTGATGATTGTACTTTGGGTAGAGGTGGTAGAAAACCTGTCATGTCTTAATAAAGCAGTGAATCCCAAATCTGTTTGCTGTTACTCATCCCAGTTATTTTTCCATTCATTACCTGTAACTATGCAGTTGGAGCAGGGAGTTTGGTTTAAACAGGACATGAAGGTGTTCCCCATTCCTTTGTTCTGAATCCCTGGGATTTGACATACCTGGGTGCCTAGGTGAGGAGATTCCTAACCTGTTATACCTCATTCAGGGAGGTCATCCCCATGGAAACGTTCCTGCCCAAACAGTGACTCCTGCTGCCTCAGTGTCCTTGCATTTCCTCATTTCTGCCCTCGTGGTTCTGATGTGTTGCTGTCCTGAGGCAAGGATGGGATTTCTTTCTGCTGTCATTGTTGGGTTTGTGTTGCAAAGACCCAGCATAAGCAGCTCTAGTCATGGACTGGGCCCCCAGATGTGCCATGATACACTGGAGAGGTGCTTATCCATTTATTTTGTAGCAGTTTGTTAAATAGATGGAAGCTCAGTGCAAATATTGTTTTTCAGTATTTTTGAAGGAGCCTAAGTAGAGGTAGATTCATAATCAAGCATCATGTTTTATATTTTTGCACCTTTGTTAACTGCCTCAGTTTAGTACAGACTTATGGAAGTAATCTTCTTGCCTTTTCTCTTTTTTTCCCCTTTTTTTTTTTCCTTTAGAATTGCCAAAATGCTTTGGAATTCTTAAACGATTCAAAAGCTGAAGTCTCTGAGGATACAAAAGCATAAGAACACAAGAAGCAGCAAGGAGGATTCAGTGCCAATGCAGCAACAAAAAAGACAGCCAGAGTTAGTGGAAGGAAATCTTCCTGTTTTTGTTTTTCCTACAGAACTTATATTTTATGCAGATGACCAGTCAACACACAAGCAGGTGTTGACTCTATATAACCCCTATGAGTTTGCCTTAAAATTCAAAGGTGGGTTTCTTAGGTTAAGTTCTATTTAAGGGCTAGTTGATGATCTTGAACAGTCCAATTATAATTAATGTAAAAATCATATCTGTGCCAAAACCAAACTCTACATGTCTCTCTACATGTATCTGTTGCTGAACTGGTGATGTATTAGTTCATGATTTGTTACCACTCCTGTCCTTTTCCTTGCAGTTCTTTGTACAACTCCAAATAAATATGCGGTGGTGGATGCTACTGGTGCAGTGAAGCCTCAGTGCTGTGTTGATATGTAAGTAGAAGTTGGTTGGGTTTTTTCCTAATATACAACATTTTATTACCTTAATTCCCTTTGTTATTTAAGAGGTTGTAAATGACAGCATGCATGTTATAATACATAAGTTGGATAAATATATGTTTTCCTAATCTCCTGTATATACTTGTGGTTCTGATTTTTGCTGTTCTGTCCCTCTAGAGCAGAGGTATTACAATACTGGAGATATATCCTTCTTTAATTTTGCCTTTGGGCATAAATAAAATGCCAGTAAATGCATCTTGTAATGTAGTTTGTAAACCAGGAGTGAGAGTAATATGAGCCTTCTCTGAGCACCTTTTTGTTAGAAATAACAAGAAAAGCAAAACCCCCAGGGTTGAGATCTGTTTGTGAGAAATATTTCTTTACAGATTGGTAAAATAGAAATGTGTGCAGTTCTACTGAGCACATTTCCCTGGGCCATGTAAAGGTAGTTTTGCCTACCTTTCACCCTGACCACCCATCTCATTCTCAGATCTCTGTGCCTGCCCTTTATCTCTCCTGTCAGGTCTCAACCCAGTAACTCAGAACAGGAGGCTGCTTAAGTGACCACAGTGATGTACAGGGTCTGTAGGCTGCTGAAAGCTGAAACAGAGTAGGTGTAAAAGCTAAAATAGACCAACTCTTTTTATATTCTATTTGCCACATTATTTCTGTGGCAAATAGAAATAAATAATATACAACTGAAGAAAATCTGCAGTACCTAAAAGAGCAGACTGAACTTTTTGAATAGACATTTTCTAAACTGTAAAACACCACCTGGACTCTCTGTCTAACAAGTGGCCATACACAGAAACCCTTAGTCAGATAAATAACTGTTCTTGGGGAATGGCTCTTTATTCCTATAGACTATTTTCTTTAGGTGCAATTTGAAAAATTCCAAAGACTCACTAAATAGAAAGGAAGTTTAGAACATGAAACTGGAAGGTTTCAGTAAGCAGGGGCAGCAAATGCTAAAAATGGGACTAAACAGGTCAGAATATACCAGTGTACCAGTGAGCTGTTCCATTCTTCAGAAGACATTTACACAAGCTTGATTACATTTGATTAGACAAATGGGTTTTATTAAATAAAGGAAAATAAGGCAGACACATGTTCCAAGGGGATTTTTCTGTGCAGCAAAACCCCCCATCCCACTCCAGTGGTTGCTGTCTAAGGACAGTGTTTACTGCTAGGATATGAGCAGTACTATGCAAGTGTGGCCATTTGCCAGATAAACAGATATTCTACAGAGCTTCCAATTATGCAATGATCTCTAAAAAGAAACAGGAGAATGGCTCTGTTTATAAGGGTCTGCAGAAATATCTCCTTGCTTGGCAGCAGATACATGTTCTCCTAGCACAGTGTTATGTAAAGATTCTGTTTAGGTTGGTAGTTGGTACCATGGCACTGGGAGTAGGAACACCAATTTAAAAGGAAGTGTTAAAGGAAGAAATCAGAGTTGATGTGCTGTGCTGATATGCTGAGAGCTGGATGAATTAGGGCTGTAAGGGGAAAAAGCCTTTTGTTTCAGTGAAGGCAGTTGCCCAGCCAACACTCCACTTGCTGGAAGCCTGTCATAGGCACTCTCCTTTGCCTCTGGAGTGATGTAAAACATCACTGCAGCCTCTTGCTGAGGGGATGACTTGGTCTCTGTTTCTGTGGTGAATAGTCCATTCAAACCAGATACCAGTTGCAAGCACTGGCTACGTACTCATGCTTGTAGATATCTTGATGTGATATAGTTCCTTTAAAAAAGGAATGAAAAACAAAAAACCATTTCCTGCAGCATTTTAATGTATGCAGTATCACAAACATTGGTTTTTTGAAGCAATTTTAAGACTCCTATTCTGTGTTTCTAAGGGTACAGTCATTTTTTCCCCCTCATGAGATGACAACCTGCTTCTTTGTATGTATGTTCTTCAGATCAACTGCTGTTATCTTGGAAACTTAGAATAACCTTTAACAAAAAACATCTGGAAAAATAGTTGAAATCCTTATTTACCCTAAGAGCTGATATCACTTCAACACCCAAATGTTGTAGCTTTTCAAAGCTAGATATGTATTCTCATGATGAATCACAAATGCAGAGAGGAGGCAGTTGAGCACAGCACTGCTCAGAGGTCTGTTTTGCTGTTGATCAGTGCTATTTTAAAGCTGTGCTTTTTATAGGTTCCAAACATGCTCTCAGTGGTGGGTTTCTGATTTTGAAAATCCCTAACTGACTCTTGTCTATAGAAGGAATGAGTTTTGCTTCTGAGAAAGTAGAATTGTAAAGCTTTGAGCCTGGTTTCCTCCAGAAGCTGGACTGTTGCTTGCCAAACACCTGCCCAACTCCTTTCCTTCCCTGGCCACTCCCGTCCCCTCAGTCCTTTTAAAATCACTGGCCGGCATCAAACAACTTTGATGCAGGAGGAGGGGGCATCTTTCAGATAATTCATTTTTCATCAATTGGCAGCAGGGGCAAAGATGGGCTTGAGATAAAGACTTAACTGGCCAGGAGTATTTATATTTGGGAATTAAAGCAAACATAAGGAGGGAAGAGAGGAGGTAAGATAAGTCTTCAAGAACATTGAGTGGTGGAGGAGGTCTGGATTATTCCAGTTTATCTGGAGGAGGGGGAACCGAGGGCAGACTTTGTGATATATAGAATGTAATTCTCAATAGGCATGATTCTTAGCAGTTCATCTGTTTGAAAATGTTGTTTTCCTGCAGTGTGATTCGTCACAGAGACGTTCGGGCTTCTTACTATGGTGTCATAGATAAATTCCGTCTCCAAGTGTCTGAGCAGAGCCAGAGGAAAGCATTGGGGAAAAAGGAGATTATTGCTACTCTGCTTCCATCTGCAAAGGAACAACAGCAACAAAAGGAAGAGGAGGAAAAACGAATAAAAGAACACCTGGCTGAAAGTGTCTTTTTTGAGCAGACTTTGTGTCAACCAGGTAGCTGAAATCTTTTTGCACTCCTATGTTCTGAATCAGTTTTGAATAGCTCAAATGACGAGACTCAAAAACATATTTTAAATTAAAAAGAAATATATTTTAAAATATTTTTACAAAATTATTCATTTTGCCTACCTGTAAGATTGTTGTCTTTATCACTTGAGGGTGACAGTATTCAGGAACCCAAACTGTGGCTATTCTGTTTATGCTGTCTTGATCAATCAAGGCCCTTTGCTGCCCTGTGTTTGTATGTCATACCTTGGAGAGTGCACCCACTGTTCTCTGGAGCAGGAATTCTCACACAGACAATGGGAATTTATCTGTGAAAGGATGCTAGTTACTTTTTCCCTTGGGCTCTTTCAAAACATATGCCCCTTGTGAGTTTGTTCCAAACCCTTAATCCCCCATTTCCTGATGAGCAGGAAATATTGCCAGAACATCATCTAAAGTGCTCCTTGTTCTGTGTCCTGTCCTTTGTCTGTCCCACAAGAACAGAAGAGCACAGTTGGTGGCTGAAAACTCCACACACTGAGGAAGTGAATCAACAGTCTTGAAAACCTGGGCCAGACAGTTAAATTGAAGGGATAGGATATAAAGTGTCAAGTTGTACCTGAAATGAATCTAAACTGATTCTTGATGGTCTACATTCTTCTTACTTTTACTGATTCATACTGAAATGTTCTTGTCACTATTATATTTTTCAGGACAACAAAAACCAATTCCAGAAAATAGATGAACCTCCTTGAGAGTATTCAAGTTGCTAAAATGGATGTTTCACTATTTATACTGAGTTTGTTGGCTGGTGAAACACTTTTTATTAAAAAAACCCTTCATAATAGATATTAGTAGGATACACAATTAAAGCAAACCTACAAAGGTCTCTGGGCTCACAGAACAAAATGTTCCTGTGATAGTTGATCCAGGACAGAGGGCCTGAGCCACCCTGAACAATCTGATACTGGTCTTATTCCAAATGCTGTTTCTCTGCTTTAAAACCTCATTGACTGTGGTATATTGCAGTAAAAGAGGAAGCAAGTAAACAAAGAAACTGCAGTTTTGCAACCTGGAAATAAGATTTATGGAATTAAATAGAGCACATATTGCTGGTTGCTGAGGATAGAAGTTGATAAAAACATTGGCTATTTTCTAGTGGTAATAAGGATTTGTTTAGAGGTATTCAGCTAACATGTTAACAGCTCTTTTCAAAGATGACACAGTGGGCCTTTGAGTAGGTTCCAGCTGTTAAAGTGCAGGACAATAAAGACTATGAAGGACTCTTTATTGTCTGTGGTTTGCATTTTCTTATTCTGGTAATACTGGACTGTCACAGTGGTTCACTCTCACACTTTTTAAAGTAAGATTCAAATTTTACTGATTTGTGGCATCTAAGCTGACTGGCTCAGGTATAGCCCTTGAACCCTGTAAAGAATGAAGGGGAGCTCATCTGGCCCAAGAACCTGTGCTCCTGCTGCAGGCAGGTTTTGTTCAGGAGGTGTGGGCAGTTACCTGCCTCTGCAGGTCTTTTGGGTGCTCTGAGTGATGGATTACTGATCACTGAAGCAGCATATCAAGGAAGGGAGCCAGGATGCACAGGGAAACCTCAGCACAGCTGAGCCATCCAGCTGTCCTGAGTGTGTATATATAGCAACTGGGCCTGGCAGGCTCTGTTCCTCCACAAGGGAGTGGTTTGGGAAGTCATGTGAAAACAAGTTCCAGCATCAGAACAGGGAGCAGCCTCCTCCACTGCAGAATGCAGGAGGTTTAGAAAGGTGGGTTTAAGACTTGGCTTCCACCCCCTGCAAACTGCAGAGCAAAAAGGAAAATCTGAGGATATTTCAGCTCCCATGTACTGCAGGCATTTTTGCAGAATGTTTAATGTTTATATTATTTAGATCTGCCTTACATTTGGGGCTTTGTTGCTTTTCAGAAAACAGAACTGCCTCGTCGGGACCTAGTTTACTCACAGTCTTCCTTGGAGTGGTGTGTGTTGCAGCACTAATGCTACCTACATTGGGGGAAATGGAATCCCTGGTGCCTCTCTACCTCCACTTAAGTGTGAATCAAAAGTTAGTAGCTGCTTATGTTTTAGGTGAGTACTTTGGATATTAGAAACATTTTCCTGCAAAATCTGTGAGTTTGGAAAACTTTACCTGTCTTTGCCAGTGGCCTTGGGAAACTGGATGGAAACAAAGCATCACATTAGGTTTTGTTTTGCATCTCAGCTTACATCTCAATTGTAGCCATGGTGATAGCAGGATAAGTTAGTTATTGTAAGTGTTTTAGACCAGATTTGAGTTGACACCTATTGCACACAGGCCCCTACATGCTAATTTCAGCTTTATTTGATGATGGGCCAGTAACCGTCATCTGCCAGCACACCTGAACGGAATGTGCTGTTTCTTACCCTTGCATTGCAATAGTTAATCTCTTGCAGAATGTAGAATGTGTTATTGTGTTTCTCTCTAGCCCCCTGAGCTGTTTTTCAAGGCTTGATTCTCAGTGCCTGTTTAATAAGGAGTTGATATGTGTAGCAGTAAGCTGTTGTAAACCCTGTCTGAGACCATCCCCAGTTCTTCCTGATTTGTAACTTGCTCCTGCATTAGCTAGCATGGATGAGTTGCACACTTCATTTGTTATGACTATTTCTCTATAACTGTTTCAGATTTGAAGAACAGTCACACTAAACTCAGTTCTCCTCTCCCACTACCTGGCAGAAATGAGGATTTAAAGGAAAAGAGCTAGGCAGCTCCAAACTGATAGCTAGAGGTGAGGTAGTGATGGGGAAAGGTGCAAGTTCTGGTGGTTCATGCACACTCTGCTGACTCACAAAGGTCCATCTGCTGAGTGGTTTGAAATCTCACTTGTGGCTCCTTGCCCAGGCTGATGCTGATGGATTCTCAGATCAGGACCTTGCAGTAATCCTCACTTGGTTTTTCTCTGCTTTTGAAAATTACTCCAGGTTCTGCTGGTGTCAGTTTTAAGCCTTTTGACTTTATCCTTTTGCAAGAACTGAACCTGTTTCTAGATTCCCTGTGAAGTTTTGAGAGGTTTTGACTTCTTTGCTGGCAGTGCTTTTAGTGTTCATGGACAGATTCTTTTGTGTGCAGCTCTTGCTCATGTAGAAAGTCGATTGCTCTTGAGGAGTTGAAACCACTTTGTTCCACAAGGAAGTGCAACTGGATTGTGGAGCATTTAATTGGAAAGGATTGTTATACCACACCAAGAGGAGTCTATGATATTTGAGAAGTATCTGATTTACAGAAGTGAGTTAAACCCTTTATTGTCTGAGGGCCCTGTACAAGTGGTGCAGGCTGTTCTGCAGAAGCCTCTGCTGTTCCTCTGAGGTGATGGAATTGATCCAAGCTAAGGATCCAGCAGCTGTGGGAGCACTGATTGTCTGAACCAGTACAGGCCTTGACAAATAGCTGAGCTGCAGTTCCTCTTTAAGGGATAAATTGCTGATCTAATGGAAGACAGTGCTTCTGCCTTCACCATCTTCATGAAGTAGCCAAGTTCCATCAGTGTGGAGTGGCAGGAGATAAAACAGTCTCAGAAATGTCTTTATCCATGCTGAGATCTGTAGGTTTTAGCTGAGCTTTCTGCAGTGAAAAGCTGTTAGAGTGACATCATCTGAGCCTGCAAGAAAGTGAGATTGCTCAAGAACTGATAAATTGTTGTTTTGATGTTACATAAGGCTGGAAGTCAGGGAGCCCCTGTGTTCTTCCATCTACCTCACCTTGTGCAATATAACCCATGGCTAAAACCTGCAGATTTGTACTTTTTCCTGTATCAGCATATAATTAAAATGAACTTTTCAGTGTGTCATGGGTAGGTTTATTAGACCCTGTTTCCTGTTTTCATCTGGTTTTAATAGTTTTTAACCTCCATCAGAGCAGTCATTTTTTTCCTCCCTCTCTAAAGGTCACAACAAAGAGTCTGTTGAAAGCTCTCTCTGCAAACTGACAAGGAAGCTTAACATCTTTGTTAAAACTGGTCTTTGATCAGTTATTATTCACAGAGCAGAAAAAAGCCTTGGAGCCTTCAACTGATCTGCCTTACTGATGATTCAGCATTCCAATGACCCTGCCCATAACTGGCCCCATGAGGAATGGGGTTTAGTGTTACAGTCAGCCCAGTCAAAAGTTCAGTGCTAAGATTTTCCAGCAGAGAGGGCAATAATTGTTTGGAGTATTTCTACCTTCTTTGACATTCAGTTATTAGATACACCACACGTCAGTGTTGATTTTTGACTATATCAAAATTTGGAGCAATACTTTAATATTTAAGTGTGTGTATAAATGCATTCTGCATGCATTTATGCACTTCTACCATATTTTCTGGCCTGTGACAGGGTAAAGTCTTTATTTTAAATGTTTTATTTTGAGTGAAATAGAAGTGTTTAGTTCTTAATTCTTGTCTTTCAGGTCTCATCACCATGGTTATTTTGAGAACATGAGCAATGAGTTCATAGGATGTCAAACACCTTACTGTATATTCACATCATGAATGTGGACTGCCTTTTACTCCCATTTGGCTCATTAAGATGCTAGCAAAACTGTTCAGTGATTTAAGATACCTTCAGAAGTGTAATATATTTTAACTGTGTATAATAAATGAAAGACTCAAAGCACTTGGCGGTGCTTCTGTAACAGACAGCTATGAAATGTTCAGTGATACCTGTGAAAATAATTTGAAAAAACTTTTATATCTATGCCTACTGTAAAAAATCCTTATTAAAACGACATTTGTTATTTTTAGTCTATGTTCACATCAGTGCGTGATCACTATAAAAGCAAACTGTCTCCTGTAAAAACGCTCATTTGGTTTGTGGTTGTACCTGCTGAGGCTGGCACATAACACTTCTGTATATACATACCAAGGGGTGAGAGTCGTGACTGATCATTGAAGAGAAATGAAAAATTCCATCAGTGGAACTGAAATAAACCATGAATTTTAGGTGAAGAAGTAATTCTCAAATTTCTTACTTCATCATCACCAATATATCGTTGAGTGCTCATTTTCTTACCTGGGGAAATAATTTCTTGCAACAGTCATTTTGTACCACAATTACTAGACAATAAAACCAAGTTCTGTAATCAGATTCTTCATTTCTTAGGGATGCATGGAAGTGGCATTAATGGAAGCTGAACTCATACTAATACAAAATTAATAATTTTCTCTATTTTAGAGACCAAACTAAATGAAATAGCAAAGGCATTTCTCTACATCCCTCCCCCCACAGCTACCACAGGAACTTCTTTTCTATCAGAAACTCCTGCTTAAATGCCAGTTTCATATTTGAGGTGAACATTAATCTTGTTTCATACAACAAGTATTTCCCTTTATTTGACATTTCATTGTCGAGATGTTAATTCTAAAAGGGCAGCTATTACTGCATTGGATTCATACAGACAAATCTTTGTTTGTAAGAAGTCTATAGAGTATGCTCTGATATGAATAATAAAGTTTGGAAATCAAACCTTTCCCCCTGCATGCTTTGGGTCACTTTTCTGCTTATGCATGGAAATACAAAAAAACATGAAAAAAATGTTTCTTAAAAAAAAAAAAAGGAGAAAGAGAAGTTGAAAAAAGTTGTAAAAAGTTGTTAACCACTACATTTTTTCTTGTACAATGCTACTCCAGTTTGATTCTCAGAAGAGCTGGGATTGTGTCATCCATCGATCAGCATCAGATGATAGAGTCAAACATTAACATTCACTAAGGACAAAAACCAAAAAATGTTCCCAGCTGGTTTAGGAGGCCGTGTCCCAGAGCCTGCTGCAGGCACAGCACTGCCCTCCAACACTGAGCTCGTGGCTGGGTCGGTGTTCTCCTGCCACTGCAGGGCTCTGTTCTTGTAGCTTCACTGCTCCTCAGTACCTCCACTGTGAATTCTGATTTCTCCCAGGTGGTTTAACCTGCTGCTGCCTGGGGAAGGGTGAGGGAGTGGTGCAGAAGTTGGGAAGATAAAAATGCCACGTGGTGCCTTATCCTAGCACCCAACAGCCAGGCTAAAGATTTTGTTTTGTGCCCAAGCTGGTCAAAAAAGCCCAACACAAACCCTTTTCTCCCCTGTGTCCTGAAATTCTGGTCATGGGCTGGGATGGTGTTTTGCCAGGCAGTTGCAGAAGTGACAGCTGTAGGAACCCAGAGTCACTGAGTGGCTGTAACCAGGTCTGACACCTGCAGCTGCCTCATCCTGCAGGACAGTGCCTGCATGGCAGGGGAGAGCACAGGACACAGATGCCAGCAGTCATTTTCAAGAAATCTGAAGGGAAATGATTGGTTTAGAAAAACACCTTGACCAAAGAAATCAGAACAAAAAGTTATTGTTGACAAAAAAGACTAAAAACATTGGACCATTTCTTTGTCAAGGCAACAGAGGAACAATACACAGAAAAAAAAAGATTAAATGCACAGAGTAATTCAGCAGATGTAGATAACTGGTGCTTGGGTGAAATAAGGATGACAAGTGTGAATTCTGACTTCTTTCTCCTTCAGGGAGGTTGCAGCACACTGCAGAATCACAGATTTATCCCAGTTATGAAAACAAGACCTGGGGACTGTTTCAGTTCAGCACTGAGGGAGAACATATCAAATTATGTTACAGCACAATCACAGCAGGGCACCAGTAAAATGTTACCAGGTGGATACACAAGATTTTGAAGATATTTCCTGATTTTATGTATATTCATGTCCATGCACATACCTCTTGTACTTACATACTAGAGTTTCAGAAAACACTGAACACCTTTGGAAACAAGACCCAAGACACTGAATCTACCTCTTAGAAACACCAGGAAAAACAGTTAAGTGTTCACGTCATTTCCCATTCCTGACTCCTAGCACAAACAAACAGTCATTTCCTTGCAATGGGCAAGTGTTCTCAGCAGACAGTTGGGAGGCTTTGAGATCATCCAGCAGAAGCAATCCTGCTGTTTACCCACGGGTGCCTCCGAGGAAGTGGGAACGCTTTGGGGAGCGAGCGTCCCTCCCCTGGCTTGGTACATGATCCTCCCGAGGTGTCTGCACTTGTCTGGGTCAGAAAATCCCGAGGTGATCGTGTTTCTCTGGAGGAGTGAATCACAGAGTGCTTGAAACTGCAGCAGACCCAGTGCAGCAGGGACAGGAGGGGCTGCCAGGGAATCAGTTCATTGCAGCAGCTGATAATGGAGCCCCGGGCAGCAGGGCCACCACCTGGAAACAAATCAACCCCAAATCAGCCTCTGCAGAGGGAAAAGCTGAGCTGCTGCTGCTGCTGACATGGCTCAGCATGCCCCAGGAAGACAATGGAACGTTGCTGTCACTGCTCCTCTTGAAAAGCTCCACAGGGATGTTTGCAGCAGCTCCAAGAGGAGCCCATGCACAGAACTGTGCCTTCAACACAAATAAAAGCAGAGAAATCCTGCAATCAGCTAATTAAGAACTGTCAAAGCCAATCATGTGTTATTTTATCTTATGCTAGTATGTACAAGTATCTGATGACCAACAAGCCTAAACTGGAAAGAGTCTGCCAAATACGTTTGGCAATAAATCATTGTATTTTAGTCCTTATCTGTCAATGTACACTTAATATACCTGGCTTTCCTTGTAAGAGCTTTCCTTATAAATGTCAAGTTCCAATGCCCCTTTCCTTTGTCAGGAATGTGAATCTCACTCTTCAAACACACTCAGGGCAGCATCAAATTTAAGGATCAGGTCTTAAAAAACCTCCTGTACAGGAGGCCTTAAAAAAACCCCAAACCTTGAATCATCTGTGCCAGGTGGGTTTTGAGTTGTTGGGCTGGAGCAGCTCAGCTGCTTTGCCCTCTGACCTTGCATGAGCCCCTCTGGGCAGAGAAGGGAACTCACTGTCCTGCGCAGCATGCAGGGCTGAGCAGGGCTGCCCCTGCCCCTCCTGCCTGCTCTGTGCCCACAGAGGGGACAAGTGCCATGGAAAACAGGTTCCCTCCCGTGTCCCTGCGAAATGGGGCGCTCTCTGCTCGCTGCGGGGTAGGGAAGGCACCATCTCTCACAGGGCTGGAGGAGAAACAGCCAAAGGTAACAGTGCCGGAGTCTCTTTCCTGCAGGCATAATGAGGAAATTCAATAAAGACTGAAAGCACTGAAGGAAAGCGACGTTCACTGATGCCAGCAGCCGTCACTCACTCGTCACTGCCCCGCAGGAGCTGGTGAGGATCGGGAACCCCAACAGGAGCCACTTCCAGATAAGGACCTCAGTGGAAGGAGCCTGGAGAACAAGTTCATCCTCCCCAGAGGACAGCAGGAACGAACACAGGCAGGTGACACCTGCAGCACCTCAGTAAAGCCGAGTAAGGGTTTATTCACCCACTTTTGGTGTATCTTTGTCTTCTTTAGAAGCTCTCCACTGAACGCTAACGAGCTCTTTGCTTTGGATAATGAGCTGCAGCTAATGCACATCAGCTCTAGGAAATCTGCAAAGCTGTGTGACCACGCTGACGATGAAATGTGGAATTACATGCAGGCAAAGCGACCACATTGGTCTTCAAAACAACAGAGACTGCAAAGAAATCATTTAAGCAAGAGCACAACCACGATTACAGCTATGGGTGTCTCCTCAGTGTGAGGAAAAAGGCTGGTAAGGTATAGCTGAGTAACAGGCTCCATGTAATGGAACTTAAATCTATGTTTCCAGTTAAAAAAAAATTAACCATAAAATTTTCAATAGCAAAATATAATTTACAGTAACAAAATGAGAGTGTTCTCTAGAAAACGGCACACTCAGTGGCTTGAGGAATGAACATGAAGGCATTAGAGGAACATTTGCTTCAGCAAACAAAAAGCCACCATCAGGAGACAAAACTGCAGCAGGGAGAAAACCCGTGTTCCATCAGCATCACCAAACCCATTAGCGCCTTTCCCTCAGGAATGTGCCAGGAATCTCCACAATCCAAACCGACTGCTGAAGTGAATGCACTTTAAACGAAAGGATGTTGATGTATTTTTAGCAGGAAGCTTCTTGCAGCTCTTTCAGTGCGAGCTGCATTTAAACTGGCTTGAGAGACAACACGGTACCTGATTTCTGTGCCACAAACCCTGACGTGTGCTGTGCACATCATGGGTTTGATTTTTCTCCACACAAGGACAGAAAGTAACCAGGAGAGCCACATTTCCAAAGATTAGTCCCTGCAGCAAAACCTGCTTCCTCTTGAGCAGCTCTTCCTACCTGGATTGACACCCAGCAAAATTCTAAACATCTTAAATACAATTATTTGTCATGGAAGGAAGTCTTAAAATAGCAAGCATTTTCTAAGGCTCTTAAGAAGCAAATAAAGAAACCAAACAAACAGAAGAGTTTTAAATTTGATAAGTGCCAGATTTGTCTGAGGAATCTTTATGGCACTGGGGATGTCTCACCAGTTCCTTGAGAGACTCAGGGGAGCCAGCACTAAGGGGTGTGGAGGCTGTCTTGGGTTTTGGTTTGAATGCTCCTCCCCCCTTCTGAAATTTCTGCTCCCGAGCCAGCTCCTGGAAGTCAAACAAGGTTATTCTCCTTCAGCTTATTTTTTTCACCTCCTCTCTTGTGTCTCTACCACAAAGCCCCAGTGGTGGAAGCAGTCTCAGCGTGCGTGGGGTCTGGGTCTTTGGGATGCAGGGTGTCTGCCTCGAGTGCTCCATGCCAGAGGAACAGAATCTCCTGAGCAAGGCCTGGGCTGGATGGCAGCTGCTCTCAAGTTTATAAACAAGGATGCTCCCACCAGATATGCAGATATGGGAAGGCTCCACTGGTACTGGTAAAACAATCACTCCCAAGGAAATGAACCCGAGGTGACAATTTTTACACCCAGTTATTGAAAAGGATTCTTGCCAAGCACTCCTCTCTGTGTCAGTAAGGTTTTAATTACTGTGCTGTAGCTGTAAACATTCAGTTGCATGTACAAATATTTTAACTTGTTGCTTCCAGGAAATGAGGGATCAACTTAAACTCCATCTGCCTGTTGGTGATGAGAAAGGTTGCTTAAAAGAGGATAGGAAGAGCTCACACAGTTTAATTATGACTCCTGAAGCTCTCTATTTTAAGTAAATGAGTTACGACTCCAGCATATGCAAGAATACAACAGCATAAAGTGAACATTTCTGAAATGATGACTGCTAAGGCAGGCACAAGCTGTTCTCAAGCTCAGGGAGTGCTGGAGGTCCCTCCAGTCACTTCACCAGCAAATCATTGCACAATAGCAGGGCTGGACTCACAAACAGCACTGATACTGGAGCCACAGCACACATCTATAAATGGAAATATCTCAGTCTCACCAGGCTTTGGAGACTTGTTTTGTTTCTATGGGTTGGTGATCATTTACATGCAAGTTTTCTGAAAAAAAAGGTGAGAAGTAAGAATTTAGGACTGAGTTCTTACCCTGATCTCAGGAGGACCTTGGGCAGCTGCTCAGCTGAGCACTGAGGTCACCTGCCTCGCTGGCAGCACACAGATCCTGCAAGTCAATCTGAGGCAGAGGCTCATTTTTCCTGGCATTTGTACCTCTTCCAGAGGGAAGTATCTGTCCCTCTGCTAAATGCAGCAACCACTGAAGGGTTCATTCCAAAAATACAGCCCCTGAGCGCTGGCACGGATACTGGCATTCCCTCAGCAGCTGTGTCACTCTGGAGAAGGTGGAGGAAGGAAAACACCCATCCTTTGTCAAGGAGGACACAGCAGCCCCAGAGCTGATTTAACTGCCAGCAGATCCTGCAGGATAATTTTCAACCAGACCAAGCAAGTGCCAAATCCAAGTGTGATTTCTGGAAGGTGCCATTCATGGCAGAATCGCAGAGAGAAGCAGAGGCAATATTAAAAGTATGAGTTATGGACAAGTACAGGGTTGAATATGTGCATAGTATAACATCCCTGTATGTTTCCCAGATACATATTCTGGAGTACAATTGATTCCAGAATTTTTCATTTCAGTGTATGTGTCACTGGACTCCAGGGAGTGGAACTGCAGCTTCTTGGTGACATGGAGATAAAACACTGAGATGCTTTCCCACAATTTCAATGCAGTTTCTGTTTTGCAAAAGCAGGGAAAGGAGCAGATGCAGATAAATAACTATTTCACTCTCCTCCAACACCATTAATTGACCCAGAGAGGTTGTGGATCCCCCATCCCTGGAACTGTTCAAGGCTGGGTTGGACAGGGCTTGGAGCAACCCGGTCTGGTTGTCCCTGCCCCTGGCAAAGGTGGAATGAGATGGTTTTTAAGATCTCTTCCAACCTTCCCACAATTCTATGATTAACTGCCCTATTAAAGCAAAAGACAAAAGCTCCCCACTTCTTCCCAAGAGTTAAGACCTTCAGTATTTCCCACCAGCAGGCAGAACCTTCTTTATTTCACTACAACTTCATCTAGGTATAAACTAGGGACACATGTAACTTGTGTTCAAAAGTGTTTAGGTTTATTCTTCTTTATTCCTAGAGTTGTCACAGACCTGCAAGACAGCATTGCACGAGGAAAACAAAGTAAGTCTGCTGCAGATATTCATAGCTGCTTGCATGTTAACTAGACTGTGTGGAAGTAAATTACAACAGATATTCTGATTTTAAAAGAAAGCATTTAATCCCACAAGAAAACAAGAATATGGTTATCTAAAAAAGTGCAGAAACAGCAAAACACATTTATTTTTCCATTTATTGGCACTTATTTGAAAAATAGCATAAATATTCAACAGAAAAGAGACAAGTTGACCCACACTCAGCTATTAAACCCCCCTATACTCATGTGTCTTCCAACAAAGACTGGAAGAGACACCAGGAGGTTCCTTCTTAAGAAATAAGCAAGATTAAAAAAAAAAAAAAGAGTCTTGCTTTCACCACAGAAGAGTGGTGGCACAGCAACTCTTTGGCACAAACCTGAAACTGCAAAGCCAAACTTTGCCTCAGCAGAGAGAGCAAACAGAGCCCAGCACTCCTGAGTGCCTCTGCCAGGGACAAAGGGCAGCTGGGCAGGGGCTGCAACCTGCAGGGTGATTATTACAATAATTTAAGAGGAATGATACCAGAAGTAAACCATGTTGTATGTTAACTAGAACAGAGTCAGACTATTAAATACATTCTATTTTCTCTCTACAATAAGGACACACAGAAATGGGTCACTGGCCCTCAGGTCACCAGGTCTTTGCACTCCAAGCCATCCCTTTCTCATTCTGTCAGTCAAAGCTTCATCCATGTGAATCTTTCACAGCAGAGTTCAGGGCAGGTTTTTCTCCTACTTGAGGAAGTTTCCATACTTTTCTCACTTTATGACACACTACAAAGATTTAGCTTTTAAAAATAAAACATTTTGCTTCATTCTTAACCTCTCTGGAGAGGTTGGAAACCACACAGCACAGATGCACAGACATGTACAAAAAGGGACCCAGCTGGGGGAGTTGAGCTGCACAACCCCAGTGAGGGTGTCACTGCCAAATCCCAGCTGTCCATGGGGGGGTCTGCACATTCTTCCTCCTGGTTGGGGAATTTCAGAGTTGAGATCAGGATGTCTCAACACACTGACTTTTCAAGCATCTCAGATTACCAGATTCCAGGCTTCCAATCAGCATCTGAAGTTTTCAACAGCAGAAATGACTTAATGTCATTGTTTGAGGAAGCAACATCAGAAAATTAAATACAGATTAAATATGTTTGATGGCCTCAGGCTGTAAAAAGGTATTCAAGATTCCTCACCGTATCTGTCATATATGAGGACAAATACTGACTTAAAATAATGCATTTCTGAAGTACTAAATACTACAATCTCAGGATTTAATGCATTGTTCCAAATATTGTCACTATTTTTCCCTATTAAAAGACCTTTAACAGAGCATCTACCACTCCTATACACAATCTAAATGGGGATGAAAAAGAAAGAAATGCCAGATACAAAACCCCAGAAGAATGTTCCACACCTAATTTAGATTTAGTCACAACAGCAGTCATGATCATGAATGAAATCCAACATATAAATTTGACAATTTACCAACTTGTTATTTTCTGACATCCACTGGAACACAAAATTTATTAAGAGCCAATCATAAGAGAACACAATAATATTAATAATAATCAATTTCCCCCCTTCAATATTCTCCCTTTCTTATGAAGAAGAAAAAGAAAAAATATAAAGATCTAACACTCTGGGAATAGAAACAATTAGTAAGCTGCTTCATTGCTTTTAGGCTGAGGACAAATGTGAGTTATCTGCTCCTCCACAGGCAGGGAGGACAGGGGCTGCTGGCAAGCCAAGTCTTCCACAAGCAGGACACAAGTCCAGTGCTTGTGACTCTTGCCAAGGAGATCACACCACTGCAAACCTGCCTGCTGACTGACCTGGGCACCCAACGTGTCTGCAGCCCAAATGCTTCTGTACTGTAATAAATGTCATACAAATCACTAGAAAGGTGAATTCCTCCTCAAGGAACTATTCTGGAAGTTTTCTAGAAGTAATGACATTGCTGGAAGTTCCTATGAGGAACAGAATGGGTCACACACAACAGAAGGTCGGGGCAGTATCTGCCTGTTTCCTGGTGTCCAGCAGCAGATTCCTGCTCCTCAGTTCATTGGTAACTTGGCCATGAGATCCACGGGCAAAAAAGGGGATCTGGAGTCAGAGAGTGACACTGGAGAGTCTGTGCTGGTGCCAGCTTCAGCTGGGGAGTCACAGGAGGAGCCTGCACTGCTCCTGTTGTCATCCAGGGCGTGCGAGGACAGACTGAAAACAGAGAGACACCAGGGCTGAGAAACGAGGCAGTGGCTCAGGGAAGTGCCCAAAACCAGCCCAAATCACCCCAAAGCCATCCTAAACACACAGGTGCAGCTCTGAAGGAGCAGCAAGCCCTGTGATACCCCTGCAGCCACACACAGCCACTTCCAGACTCACACAGGACACTCTGCCCATGTTCTCCCGTGCTCACCCAAAATGGGGCACAGATCTGAAGTTCCAGACTGAACAATCCACTCCAGCTTTACTCCATTCTCAAAGCCCTGGGCCAGCACAACAGCTTGAGGTCTTTGTGCCAAGAGAGCAAATGAAAAATTGTCCCTCTTGCATTGTACTATGTATTTCACAGGACACAAATTCATAACTACAGCTGATCTGTCATCAGTGATAGCAGCAGAGTGATTTTTTAAAATTACCATCTCCTACACCAAGAGGCAGCAATTGAACCCACATTGCTATCCCCACTGTAAACAGGATGTGCCAAAAATATATGTTTTTAAACTACCTTTAAAACATCTATTTTGTTATTGCTACTCAAAGCTTCTACATGACTTGTACATCAGCTGAGAGGCAAAAAGACAGAAATACAGTGAACAACCCTTGACAGTTGTGTGGGCACACCCTATGTATGATTAACCTATTGACTAAAACACTAGATCAAAATCCCTTGCTATTACCAATCACTACAATTTTTAACAAAGTACTTTTTATCTTCTCCCAGCTCCTCTGACCCTCCAGGGAGGGTCAGACAGATTCATGTTCCTCTGTGACTAAGAACAAGGGAAAAGAAGAAAAACCCAGTTCATCCAAAAAGCATCACCATTCACACTTGATTGCAATTTGAATCAGACTCCCAAAGCTGTCATCCATGAGGTGTCTTTTCCTAAAAATGCTCAACACCCCATGTTATCAGCCAAGCCTAGAAACTGCAGAATGGAAGGGAACATTGCTGCCTGCTCACTGTGATAATTTCAGTGCTCTAACATTATGAGATATCTCTATTAAAAAAAGACAAAAACAAACACAAAAAACTTCAAGCATTCTCCCTGCTGGAAAAAAAGAGATTTGTAATGCTTCTGCTGAAGGGACAATAAAGAGATAAAGAGCACAGATTTACCATGCCCCAAGGTCCGCCTGATGTGCAGCCTCAGGGGTTAGCATGGTGGTGGATCCTTGGAATAATCTTTTTGGGTGATCTTCCATCTCTGTCACGCCTTTGGGAAGAGATACCAAGTGGTAAAAATTACAACTCACCTAAACTAAAATCTGCTTTCAGTGTGCTTCTACAGAGCAAACAGAACAGGGGTTCAAACTAACAATATTTCATATGTTGAACATAGAATTTAGATGCTGAAATTTTAAAGACTGTCTATTTTCTGGAGCCATTTTGTCCAAGCTTCAGTACAGTTTAGTGAATAATTAACTAAGGCTTAGATATCAGATATTTATTCTTCAGTAGTGAAGAATAATCCTTTTGTTTCAGTTTACCCAGCTATCACTTCACTGACCAGCTTCACCACAGTAGAGAAGCTGAAAATAAGGAAAAGGAACAAGGTCCAGAATGATCACAAAATTTTCTATTGGCTTTGATTTCCAAACACTCTGGAAGAGGAGGGGATAGATATGTGCTTAAAAAGGCTATGACAGAACTCTGATGAAAGTGTTTTAAAAGTTGTCTCAGAGCCAGAGATGTTCTGTAACAGAGGAGAAGCTTGAAGATATAAAAACAGGTGCAATAAATTTTCCAGAAGTTAGACTTAAGGAAAATGCAGAAAGACAGAGAAACATTTCCTAATAAAGCTGTAAGGTGCCTACCAGGCCTGTGCATCAGCTCTGGGTTTTCAAGAGTTATTTTTAATGTACAGTAGCTGTGTGCTTCAGTTAACCAGGACTTTCAAAGTTTTCTGTTTAAGTTAAATATACCAATAGTTGTATTTATTGTTTTGTTAAGCAGTTTACATCAGATTTTTTATCACATCTACATGACCACAGCAATGGGGAGGAATTAGAACAAAACAATTATTAGCTTTATGGAATTTAAAGCTTTATGAAGTCACTTTTTGAAGTATCAGCCAACTGGACAGAATTATGAAGAAAGCTATAGGAATTATTACATAACTAACAAGTTGGCCTGTTGTATTTGCCAAACCCAAATACTGCACCTTTTCTTTTCATTGATCCAAGAACACTTGGTCGAATGCAGTTAATGGGGCTCTGGCTTCTCCTGCTAAAAGAAGACAAATGCTGCACTGAGATCACCATTGAAACAGAAAGGTTGAAAAAAAGAATCAAAAGATATTTAGAAAACAAACTACTGGGTGGAAACCACTAAGAAAATAGGCATTAAAACAGCTTATCCAAAAAAAGATGGTTTTTTTCCCCCTCTGAAGATAGGCCAGGAAGGACAGAAGTGAGCAGGAAATGTTTAATTACATTATTTCACAACTGGAGCAGTCAAAAAGATCTCATCCAGGCATTGACTACATCTCAGCTGACAGGCTGAACTGTGAGGGCCTAGTAAAATTTAACTGTATGCCCACATGACTCAAAGGAGTAAAAAACCCTAAATCTGTTTGTGTTTCCTTTCCCTCAGAATTCAATTACTAAAGATGTGAATGAGAGCAATATAGAGACTGCATTGGGAAGACAGATGCCACAATGCTATGACATGAGGATTTTGACAAATGTTTTACAACACTGTAAAATCTAAACTCTGCATGAGTATATGAAACTGTGTTTGTGCTCAGAAATCAATTATGGATGCAACAAATTCTGGTATTTCAAATGCCTGCTATGAACAAGCTTTGTTAATTTTCTATCATTGCTATGATCTGGTGACCTACCTTGAAAATCTCCTTGTTGGACTTGGGCTGGGACTCGGAGGCAACCCAGTGCTGCTCACCAGACTTTGCAAAGATGGTGAGAAACATTGCTGAGAGGAAAAGAGTTTGTGTTATTATAAATACTGTATCACTCCCATGTGGTAACAGTTAATGCTTAACTGCAGGGAAATAAATAACCCAGTATCAAATTCAGCAGCCAGTCATTGGCTATACTGAGACATCACTTTTTGCTACTGAGAAAAGAAAAATTAAAATTGGACAGATTCCATTTTCATGCAGATGTATTTCACTGTACTCTGGTTAGACAAACTTATTTGGTTTTTATTAACCACAGCACAACAGCTGAACACTCCACAGAAATTCACATCCACAACATGAGCAGCTGGTATTTTCTGGTTTGGGGTTTTAGGGGGTTTTATTTACTCTCTAGTTTCTTGTTTGCAGCTGAGGTAGAAAGGAGCAGGTGGCTTAATCTTTTGCTACTAATTTGGTTGAATTTATTTAGCTCTACTTAAGATAAAACCATTATTACCACATTTTGCTCACCTTCCCTATTCCTCGTGTAGGTGAAGGAGCTGGAGAAACAGGAACAAAGTCTACTTGCTTTGGTGATAGTGATTTTTCAAAATCATTGTCACTCTGTAAACAGTACACATAATTAATCTCACAGGCAGGTACCTTAATAAGAAAAGGACTGATTGGTGTGAAATCCCAAAGTTATCCTCCATCATCTCAACAATTATTAGGCAGCCATTTCTAAGCTTATGCTTAACAAAAACAAAAAAGCCTTAAAGATTACATGGAGACTATCAGAACATGGAAGAAAAATTGAACAGGCAGACATCCATGCAATTTTCTTTTGACACAGCAGCCCAAGGAACCCACATGTACCTTGAACAGTTGATAATTCTATGCCTTGTTAGTGTGATAAATTGCTGATCAAAAGCAGTACTATGACAACAACTTAACTGGAGGTCAAACTATCAAAGGAAATGTTGACATGAGAGAGTCTCTAGTGTCCTGATACTGATGATAGAAACACAAATTAAAGCATGAATGCATTACCAGGCTCAAGCTCTCCTCCCATGAGTGGCTCATCTGCATTGCTACTTGCACTTCTCTATAAAGAAGAAAAGAAATGTATTGTGCTGGGCCCACAGATGGCTGCAGTGACTGTTCTGCTTTGCTTTAGTGCTCACCTTTCACGAACGGTTTCTCTGTTCAGCAAATTCATTCCTTCCTCCTAAAAGATCAGCACATGAAGAAGTAAGGTCAAAAAACCCCCACTTTGTCCAGCAAATCAGAAAAGCTGTGGTTTCACTTCCCTTTGGCATGTGGAAAATTTAATTCAACCCAGTTAAGCAACAATAACCTCAAGTTCTCATCCATGGAGAGGAGTGAGGACAGGATGGGAAAGAGATGTAGCAGGAGAGACCATCATGTAAGAAGTGCTTATGTGAGCTGGTTGTCTCCCAAGCTGCTTTATTTTCATTACTAACCAAGAAGTAGCTACCAAACTGAATAATGGTAGTATGAACCAGAAATTCTGCACATGCCAGAGTGTCCTTATGCAGTCTTCAGTAATTTCATTTTACAAAGGGGATGCTAGTACAGATAAACCTCAAAAACATGGCTGGATTCTCACCTGACCCTATGGATTACTGACTAACTAGACATTTGTCAGCATCTCATTTGCAATACACTGCACTGCACACAATGAATTCAGGGGTCAGTGAGGGTATTTTTCTTAAAAAAACTCCATAAAATATTATTAAAATGGATCAAATATATAAAATTAAACATTAACACCAAGTACAAACATGACTTAATCTCCTCTAAGGCAGACACCATACATTAAAATTAACTGAATGCTACCCAGTTTGTTCAGTGAATGAGTAGGTTCCCTAATTTAAAGTAAAAGTTCAAGTAAACATCTTCACAATCCTCATCATAAGTAGGAAGAGTCTAACTTCTCCACCTGTGTGATAATTTGCTCAGATTTGAAAGAGATCAGAAGTGAATCACACAGGTTCTCAGTGAGTATACAGGACATGGAATTAATTCCAACTAGTGAATCTAAAGCTCAAACACAAATTAGGAAATTACACTGTTTGCTTCAATAAATGGAAGACACAAACATGAATGCAGAAACATTTTCCAGAAGATTGAATTATCAAATTTTACTTCAGGTAATAGAGCAGAGCCACAGGGGTTCATTCCTTTGCTCTCAGCATATTTCTCATTATATCTCCCTGCTCACTGCAGGAGGGTTGGACCAGATGACCTTTAAAGGTCTCTTTCAACCCAAACTAATTTATGATTCTATCATATTTACATATTAATCCTAAGCGTTTTTATATTGATAAAAGAGCTGTACAACAGACCTGAGTGCTTCAGAGTCTACTCAAGCCAGTAAATTATTTACATAATGAAAGCAAGCAGTTATTTTCTTCAGGATTACTGTGCAACTACCTTAAATAACCGAGGTAGGAAGCAGAAGTGCCTTCCACCACTCAGGCACCATCCCCTAAAAATGCTGCCTGAAGCATTAAATTATTTTCTTAACTTTTGACCCTGTAAAAATCAAGCCTGTCCATTGAAAACTAGCCAGCTAAAAAAAAATTAAAAAAAAATTAAGCACTATCAAGCCAATTTTATAACCATTTTACTGTGAAAAAGTGGAGATATAAAATGAAGGAGACACAAGAGTTGGAGCTTGTTGATTTTACAGTGGAGTCCTCAGCCTGTGGTGTGCTGGCTGGGGCAGAGCTATTTGAGCCTGCTCAGATATTCCCCACACCACCCCCCTGCCCGAGTGTTTGCTCTGCTGCCCTTCCCCCTCCGCTCCTGCTGTGACAGCACAAGTACAGGGATCTGGATAAGAAAATTATACAGATGAAAAATAGCCCAGCCAGAAGAGTACAGACTATTTTTCAACCAGAGTGCTTCCTTATCCTGCTCATTTTCTGGCTGCACAAGACTCCTGTGCCAACACAAGTTAAGGAACACTTTGTCATTGGCCCCGAATATTTATGCTGGCACTGCTGCCAGAAACTTGGTGAAACTTTACCCTAAGGGTTTACATTAAAGGTTTCCTTTCTAAAATGCCCATTTTAAGAATCCTCTCTCTGCTTAAATCTTCTCCTTGCTGTAAGATGCATTTTGCTTCATGAAACGTGGAACTGGGCAGGCAGTTTGCAAATAAAATCTCCAGCCAGCTGAAGGACATTAAACATAGACTGCAAAAAACCCCATAAAAAAGTCATTTAGAAGAATCTGTGCTTACTTGTTTGATTTGATGAAGACGGCTGCTAGGAATCCGGATAGGAGATGATGGCACAAACTGCAAGACAAAGTCACACACAACTGAAAGTACAGCAGAAGGGAGGGCAAGGTGCCACAGAAATGTCAGTAAACTAGTGTTTCCCCAAACTAAAATTTAAAAACTAATTAAAAAAAACCCCATATCACTTACAACATCCTCAGTGTATACATAACCTACATTACTTACTTGCAAGCATGTTGCATTCTTGCATGTTAATATGTATTTCCACATTATACTGCTTTGTAAGCTCACAGATGCTAATTGGTATCAGCCTGGCTTCCATTCCATTTCCAGGCAACTAGAACTGACAGCTTTCCCCACAGAATGGAGCTGCTTTTCACTAGCACACTGTCACCCCTGGTATGTATGTTGGCATATGTATTTTCCTTTATGTGACTCAGAATATTTATTTTCATTTAAGTGGTCCAGAAAGCTCCCCAATAGATCCTTTAAAATACAAAGCCAAAACAAGAAATTGTACAAAAAGGTTCCTGGATTGTTGTCTGCTTATAAATGAGTACTTTGACAGGTGAAAAAAATCAGCCATTAGAAGGCTAACAAAGAGTTAAACACTTTCTTTATGGTTTCTCAAGAGCTTCACCAATTTGGGTGAAATCAGAGAAGACGTCACTAAAAATGGCCTTCTGTTAATGTTGACAGTTTTGCATCAAGATCTCACTGGAATGCTATGATCTAAAACTGCACACCCCAAACCGAGTAATTTAAAGTGATTATTTTCTCAAAATATCATTTTCTTTCATAAATTTCTCACCCCTCACATTGTCTGCCCTCAGTTTATTTATGTCATAGCCATTCAGGAAACAAAAATTCTAAACTGAAGCCTTGAATAGAGGTTTAGCTTCTCTGTAAGATGACAATCCTTCCAAAAAATAAGGTGTCTTTTCAAAATGGATGTGTTCAGCAAGTAAGGCTTGCATTATTATAGGTGTTTTTATACTTCATTCATTACAAGGCTTCATCTGCTTCACAAAACATTACTGGAGCTCTTCATCATGCTGAAGCTGGAGACAAACACTCAGTTAACTGTTACTGCACCATTTTCCAAGCAGTGCCATGGAGAATACAAGGATTTTGCTGCCTGACAGGGTGAGTTAGCACAGACTATTAATGCTTCATACACCCAGAACCCTCCTTCTAAAACAACAAACATGAGGACATCACACCCTGCTTCTCACAAAAGAATTCAGCCTATCAGGCTCACACAGAGGATGACTAACATTTCTGCCAGAATTCAGTCATTATAATACATAATACTAAAGTCTAACAACTATAATATCTTGGTTTGCTACTTTTAAGGTCCAGCTTAGGTCAGTTTTACCATTATAGTGGGTTCCAAAAAATCCTGTGCACCTAATAAAAATTCCTCCAAGCTGCACGAGCCAATGCAGACCTTGAGCTGACCTTGCTTCTCACACACAGAAAAGGATCTGGACAATAGTGCATTCCTGCCTATTCACTCTGTCATTCCACAGTAGAAATGCATTTGTTCCACTCATTATATTCTAATTTTATAACTGTGATCCACATACTTCAAGGTTTGACATTAATAGAATATGTAAAAAACCAGTGGCTTGCAGTATAAAACAAACAATGTAAAAAGACAATGAAGTGTTCCTCTGCAGGGTCTGATGCACTAACACAGCTCTGAGGATCCCACATCTTGTTTCCAACAAGTCATCATCCTTGCTTGGTCAGTGTGTAAAACTCACTTTTGCTCTGTTTGCATCCTTTGATTTAATTCTTGTGGAAAGAAACCTCAGTCACTTTCAAAGGCTACCTGCTAAACTGAACCCATATATTACAATTATGCTACTCAAATCCCCATTGTTTTAAGAGAGCAAAAAGCTTATTAAAAACATTACAAACTATTATACTTTGACCTTTCCCCCAATACAATGTGCCAGGTGCTGTGCTCCAGAGCAGGCAAAGTTCCAGCAGTGCCAGGCTGGCAGCAGGCACTGCCCAGGTGAGCAGGGACTGCCCCAGTGCCTGTGCCCTGCCCTGCAGTGCCCTCTGCCTCCTGCAGCACAGCCACTTGAACCCAGCAGGGAAAATACCCAGATAAAAAAAAAACAAATAGAAAAAATTTAACATCAGCTTCTGCTGAAATAGCACCTAAACATCTAACCACAGACTCTGCTTAAGCAACAAAACAAAAACCCCAGCCTGCAAAACAAATCAAAAAACCATCAAAACATTTACTCCTTGGTATCTCCTGGAAGAAAATAAACTGCAGATACTGCAGAGCCTGGTTAACCCTTCCTTGGCAATTACATGTAGTGTCAGAAAACTGCAGATCAAACCCCAGCCCAAATGGCAGCACAGCCCTTGCAGCCATCATTACAAACCAGCTGAAGTCTGAGACTTGGGAGAAACTACTCAAAACCAGATTGTGGAATTCAGCTAAGCAACTGGGACAGCACTGAAGCTGGAGCTGATGGTGTATGACCCCCAGTTACCAGAGATTTTAACAACTCCTGTGGTTCCCCTGACAGGGAACACCACACAGATTATACAAACACTAACCAACTTTCTTTTATGAAGTTTAACAGAATATAAAATTTAAGCTATATTTGTAATACTTGTAATAAGAAGTTTCAGTTGCTTACTGAATCTTTTAACCCTCTTACAGTTTACACTGCAGTAAAACTTGGATTAGTTCTCTTAAATACAAAGAAGAGGGTTTTGAAATACACTTTATCACTGTCTTATGTAAAATTTATTTTATAAAAGTAGATGTGATCTAGCTCCTTAGAATATCTCTAACATCATAAAACTAAATGTACTTCTTTGCTATAGGAAGAATACCAGGGAAGGTTGCTTAGGGTCCTTGATGCTGAAAGTTTAATTCTATCACAAAATCATTTATCTGTGGATGATCCTGGTTTAAGGCCACAGAAGGATGAGAATCTCTAAGATCCTTTCCAATTCCATCCTCCCTGCCATATTCAACAGAACCATAACCCAGATCAAAAACTCACAGGAGCATTTCAAAGCAGACAAGGCACTGATCTAGCAGTCAGTGGGGAACTTGATTTTCATGTAAGTAAAATTTCATGTATTTTGCCACTACCTGGTTAGCTGGGAGGGAAGAAAAAGAACACTTTTTAATAACATTAGTGTGAGGGGAAGGGTTAGGAACATCATCCCATGAAGATGGAAACACTGCTTAACTCCAGGAGACCGCACCATTTATGAGGGCAGGCAGAAGAGCAGCCCATCAGTGAATTAGCTCCTGCTTCCCAGCAAGTTCTGGGCAAGGCATCCTGAATTAGCATCTTTTTAGCCCAACAACTGAGAATCTTCAGGAATAAACATAATAAACTGAGCTTTTGCCTTTGTTTGTTTCTCCTCTTGCCTGACCACAAGCCCAAACTGATTTATAGTAAGTTGCTGTCCTAAAAATATGAAGAAAGAGACTTGATTAAGAAATCTTGACCATAACACTTTCTTTCAGTTTTTTCATGCCAGCAGGAGAAAGGCTTTTCCACCAATCTTTTCTTATACATAACTATGCTGGTTCTGTTACAGATGCAACCTTGCTGAAATATTTCTCTGCACATTTTTTCTTAAGCATCAGAAATCATTTAAGACACTGATTACTGTTAACAGTACAGTTATATATTTTGTTTACCTAGCAAGCTACCTTTCTTACTCTACCTTGGAACATCTGTTTTACAAGCAAAGTTATGATCACAATAAAACACAAGCATTCTCCAAAGCCAATGATCTATAGGTAACACTTCATTACAACTACAGCATATGAATGTCACAGTCTAGAGCCTTGTTTCTGAAAGCAGTGTGGTATTGGTTTCACAGGCTGCAGGCTGATTTTGTTCACTGCTGTTTGCACAGCTCTGCCTGGCAGCTGGGGGTGCTGCAGGGCTCCTTACCAGGCTGTGCCGGTTCATGACCGTGGTGCTGTTCCTGCGGGTGCGCAGGACGCTGCCCTGGAACACCTGCGAGTTGTCACTGCAAAAAGAAAATCCCAAAATCAGTGCCAAAGCCACTTCCTCCCCAGCAAAGAGCCCCTCTTCACACCAGCCCACTTCCCAGGGCTGTGACAGCTCTCCTGTGGAGACAAAGCACTCCAGAGACAGGCAGGTGAGAACTCCTTCAGCTTGTTGGCAGAGAGTGCAAATCAACTCGTTCATCCTCCAGTTCCCAGCTACTTCAATTAATGATTTCAATTAATCATTTCGTGTCTTCAGAATAATTGAAGAATTGTTTAGACTGTGAGGATTTATTGTGTTTGGAATGGCTGCTGCTTGTATATTGCTTCAAATGTCATTCAACAGAACAAATGTACCAATGGCTTGTAAGCAGTAACTGAAACAAACTTCGATCCCACAGATAAAACAGAATTAAAAATACAGCATCTTGATAAATCTTATCACCACAAACATTTAATATCTTCTGAACATTTCTCCAGCAGAAGTTAAATTAAACTTACAGTAAACCCAGTTTTTAAGGCCCCACAGCAGTGAATCCATTGAAATGGTATAGGATTATTTATTTGACACAAAATGAACTTCTTTCTCAAGGCAATTTCAGTTCTATTGATTCCTAAAGCAAGTTTTACTGGTCATGTCATCATCAATGTTATCAACAGCCAATGATCAGCACTTAATGAATGCAACTGCAGAAATAAACGTTTTTTCTAGCAACCATAACAAAAATGTTGAGGCACAACCCTACAATCCCCAAAAATCAATGAGGAACTGCAAAGGTGAACAACAATCCAAATGTAAGACTGTAATAAGATTCAAATTACAAGAACTCACATTGTAGTTTCAGCTGCTAACTTGGGATGAACAAAAGTCCCCCAAAATACAATTTCTTTAAAACTAACCTGACCAACAGCACTACTGTAAGGACTGATAATCCTACTGCACTTCCATGACACACCATTGTCAGAATCCTCTAGTTCAAAACACACCAGTTGACACATAAGTTTTAGACAGCTTTTATGTAGCTGTAAATAAAAAACAAATAAAGCTTATACTGTGAAATAAAAGCCAACAGCAACTGGCATAAGCACTGTACTTCCTGCCAAGAAAAATGCATAGGCTCTGCTTCTCCAAAATGTCAAGTACATAGGATCAGACATCATTTCCAATTTTCCCAGAAGTTTCACTCAGCTCACACCCACGGGAGACCAAACAGCTGCCATGTGACAGAGGTGGAAGAGGAGAAGCTGAAGGGATCCATGACATGATGTTTAGAGATGAGTTTTGGCTGAGGCCACCAGCCACAATTCCTTTCAGTGGAAGTGCACTGCTTGGCATGCAAACACAGGACAAACAGCTCATCCTGAAATCCAGGGGCTGAGTCAAGAAAACAGGTTGGAACAATCCTGTCCCACATTACCACAGCCTGAGTCCAATACTCAGTGCTAACTAGCAGAGAGGGAGAGAAAAAAGACCCACAAATAATCCTATCTTTAATCTCCCTTGCAAAAACACCAGATCTCAGACTTACTTTTCACAGTTCCCATTAAAAATCAATTTTATTTGGCACAAAAACAAGAGTTAAAAGTTCTGTGAAATGTAACTTTTGTGATCTAAAATATTCCATTTATAACTGTTCTCCGGATCTATGGCAACTCATTTTCCAAATTCCCTACTAAAAAATGAAGAAGTCAAAACAAGAGGCAGAGGAGAAAAAGCAAGCTGTGTGAGAGCAAGAGCTTTTGTTTCAGTTTACCCAACAAAGCCATTCTGGGAAAAACTGAAGTTTCTTGCCAAGAGCTGCAATCTTGCAAAAACAGTATTCTGGTGGAAAATTCCAAACTAACAGGCAAACCACTGTAACCAACTCAGATTAGTTCAATGGCATTTCAGTTTTATTTGTATGAACACCTAACCCACAGTGTATGCACAGTGCCAGGGCAAGAGCTCAGGCTTACCCTTCTATCTGCCCAAACCCTGAACTAAATAATTTGTTTGGGATTTTTTTAAGAGTCAAGGGGCTTTCCATTTCCAATTTACAAAAGGCTGAGATTATAAAAATGTCTTGTCTCAGTTTAGTTTACTATTAGAAATTAGTTTACCTGCTCAGAAACCTCCCAGGGGAGAGCTGCCATACACAACCCTTCTATACTGCATCAAAACGTAAAATAGGAGTTGTTCCATTGTGATTATGTACAAGAATCAAATTTACATTAACTTAACATTAATTCACGATACAATAAAAAGCAGTATTTCATCTGAACTGTCAGGTTAACCATTTTGGGAAAAGAGGTATGTGAGATTTGTTCATCTCTTGATATCCAGTTCCTTACAGAAACAGAAAGGGGAAAAAAAATCAATCCACCAGGAAGTACTTATCATTTAATACACTACAGTTTATGAAACTTATTGTCAATATGCTCTCCCCAAATGCAGACACGCCACCAAGAGCAGCAGCACATGGACCACCTTACAGCTGGATGGAAGCCACACCATGCGGCAGATGGGGCATCTCCCAGCTTCTCAACAGCCCAGAGGGCATAAGCAACAGCCCTTTGGGTTATAAACTTACCCAAACAAAACTGTACTACAAGAAACCCTACCTGTCTGAAAGCTTTCACCTGCCCTTGCCTGCCACTGCCACTTTGTGTCCTGTCGGCTGAAGAGAGCCAGAGCTGTCAAACCCCCAGCCCTCCTGCAAACAGACCCAAACAGACCCGCCACAGGCTGGTGCCAACATCCAACACGACTGTCCTCACAGCACACGGTATTTGTCCCGGTAATGCATATTACAGAAATTAGTACCAGCCAGGAAAATGCCTGGCCACCTGATACACTGCTTTACACTAAATGCAAAACTTACGTCAAGGTCCCGTGAAATGACCTTCCTGACCAAATTTGCCTGATTGTTCCGAAAGCATTTACTGTTGTAATGATACACAGAGCAGTGATTTATTTTGTTCAGACCCGACCATCGCGATTGTTATTCGATGCATAAGAACAGCCACAACTCTGACGTCGCGGACGGTGTTCTGTAACACACAGCAGCCCTTGGTGAAAACAAAGCGTTCCAGTAAAACCAAATCCCGTCTGCCCGGGCTCCCTCGCACCCCTCCATGCGTTGGTATGCTCCCTAAATCCCTCCCAGCCCGGGACAGCGCTCAGGATCCCGCTTTTCCCCGCGGCGCCGCGGAGCATCCCCGGAGCCCCCGCACGGCCGGGCCGGGCCGGGATCCCCCCGGGCCCCTCACCTGAGCCCGTGGATGAGCGGGGCGCTGTTCGACCGCCTCAGGCCGCCGCCGTCGCCCGGGGCCGCGGCGCTCCCCGGCGGCAGCTCCAGGTCCAGCTCCATCTTCTCCTGAGCCATCGCGGCGGCTCCGGCTCCTCCCGCTCCGCCCATCCGCGGCCTCAAGCCGCCGCTGCCCCGGCTCTGCCGAGCCCGCGGGCGGGGGGGCTGCCGCAGCAGCGAGGCCGCATCCCGGGGCTCCGGGGGCGGCCCGTGCCCGCTGTTCCCGCTGATTCCCGCAGCCCCCGCGAGCCCTGGGCCGCTCTCCCTGCCCGGCCCCAGCGCAGGCGGGCCCGGACGCAGGGCGCAGGCGCAGCGCTCGGGCCGCGGCCGCTCGGGCACGGCTCCGTGAGGGGACAGACAGGAGTGGAGCGGAGCGCGCTCGTCCCGCAGAGCTCTCCGGCCGAGGGACACCGCTCTGATCGGAGCGGAGCGAGCTCGTCCCGCCGAGCTCTCCGACCAGGGCACACCGCGCTTGTCGCTACACAGCGAAAATTCCGCCTCCGAGCTCGTACCGAGCTGTTCTCGCTCGCAGAAATACCAGCGGGTGGTTCTGTGCAAGCCTAGATAGCTCCACGAATAAAGAATAAAACCAAACGTTTTCAGAGTACTTTAATAGCTACATGCGGCCCTAGTTTATACCTAGAGAAATCGTGGTGAAATAGGTTGGAAGGGCAGTGCCACACTGGCTGGTGGACAGGGCTGAGGCTCCTAACTTGGGAAGTGGAAATCTGGTTTGCCTTAACAGGGCATTAACCGTAGAATCACGGAATGGTTTGGATCGGAAGGGCCCTTGAAAACCATTTTGATCCATCCCCTGCCATGGGCAGGGACACCTTCCACTATCCCAGGTGGCTCCAAGCCCTGTCCAACCCAGCCTTGGACACTTCCAGGGACAACTTCCTATCTAATATCCTATCTAAACCCACTGGCTTTTGATTTGAAGCCATTCCCCCTTGTCCTGTCAATCCAGGCCCTTGTAAATAATCTCTCTCCATCTTTCTTGTAAATTTCCTTCAATTGTGGCCTGAAGGCCACAATTAGGTTGTCCCAAAGTTTCTCTTCTGCAGTTTGAACAACCCCAATTGTCCTAGCCTTTCCTCATAAGAGAGGAGCTCCATCTCTTCATCTGTTTACAGTGAGAGTTTCGGGCAGTCTTTAGGAGCAGAAACAACCGAGAAAGAGGGTAGATTATGGAAAGCTAAAACATTTTTTCATGGGCTCCTAATTTATCTAAGGCTGATGGCATTTTGTGACTGTGGCTGTGTTTATTTCACCCACAGGGGTATTTCCCTGACACTATTAAACACCCCCCACATCATCACCCCTTTATGCCCACCAGTCCCTCTGTATCACTGTACTCACGTAGCTCATTCTTCCAGTCTCTGTTGCCCCACTATGAATATCCATCCTTCACCCTCCCAAGGCTCTTTTTAACATGTTCTCTCCTTTTTTAATCCCTCTTGCCATGGTGTTATCTAACTGAACAACTTCAGATTTCCTCATTTCCATAGTTCTGTTCCACAGCACAACTTTCCCTTTCCCTCATTACCCTCCTCAGCTCTTTGAGGGTCACCCTGACAGTCCCCACTTTCTTTTGGACAAATATTCCCATTAAAGTTCTCTTGGCTACAGTAAATCCTGGTCAGAGAGCAGGATGATCTGCCTGGCACTGGAAAATTTAAGAACATGGAGCAGATGTTTTTGAGCTCTCAGCCACATTTTGGATATTGTTGGCTTTTTCCTTAACAGTATCCTGGTACATGGCATTTGAAGCTGTTTGCTGCCCTTAGTGGCAATGACATAATATAATAACTCCACAATAAAAATAAATAGCAAAATCCACATAGTTTAGTGCTGTAGTCAGATCCTGCAGGTGGCTTTTGTATTAAGAGAACCAGCATTCTTGTGAGTAGATTTCCATTCAGAGCTAGAATTTTTGCTAGGAACTTTCACCTGAATTGCCTTTTAGGCAATTCTAGCCATGGAAAATGAAGGTATGGAAGCTGTTCCAAGCTGTGAAATGCTTGTGCTGAAGCACCAGACAAGGATTTTGGTGCAGGTTCTGTAAAAGTGTCATATTGCTTTTAGAGAATGGTGGCAGCAAAAGGGGATTAGCAGTATATTCCTTTCACAGCTGCAGATCCTAAGTTTCCAGTGAATCAGACTGGTCATAATTATTAGACATCAGGTAAAATTATTTGCATATTTACATTCTCAGTCTTTGCAGGAGATGGCAATTCTGTATCACTTCACAGAAGGGTGTCATTATTGGCTGTGGTAGGCCATAGTGTAAGGGGCACAGGACTGTGAAAGGTATTTCTCCTCTGTAATAATACAGATAAGGATTTTTTCTCTGAGTTTTTCAATATGAATACATATAAAAAATCCTGTAAATATTTTAAATGTAATCTTGTGGGTCTTTTAACTCAACTCCGTGCATCTTTGTGCATGTCAGCACAAAGTTCTTCATTAATAGTATCAATTCAGTGAAAGAAATGTAAGCACCAACAACAGTTGATGAGACACAGAGTCCCCAAACACAGAAAAATGGAATATGCTCAAGTCAGTCTTGATTAACAAAAAAGGCAAGGAGGTACTATAATAAATATTAAGGTACAGAAACAAGAGTTCTAATCAGTTATCTAGAAGCATCTAGCCTCAATTGTTTAAGAGAATAATTCATCTAGCTGTGTTCCCAACTAAAGTAGTTGAAATGTTGAAAAACCCTAACTTTTCTATCTTAACAGTTTCAACACCTAGCACTGTGGCAAAAGAACTATTTTATCCCAGGAGAAAATGAAGACCTTTTAAAATTTGGTGCTGGGAAAGACCCTGAAGCCCCCTGCATGTAAGAGACAAATAAGTACAACAGTTATTGCAGAAAAATACTGTAAAGAAAGCACAAACTTTGATGCTTTGATCACTTAGAATGGGTTTGCCCAGGTCAGTCCAAACCTGAACACTGTCAAGATCTCGGATCATGTCTCATGATGAGTTTTACAGCAGATTTCCGAATGCTGAACCCACTCTCATTGCAATCAAAGCCCTAGTACGTGCTTCAGCAGCTGGGGAGGGCTGGGGAGAACACTGGGACAGCCCGCAGGACTCAGGTCGGAGAGGAGCTAATCTCGAAGCAGGTTATAAAACCTTTTGCCCCCAGAGACGGGAAGACGCGCCGGGCTTGTGGCCGGGCCGGGACTCGAACCCGGATCCTGCTCCAGGCCACGGCCCGGCCACGCCCCCGCGGCGCGCGCGTCCTAGCGACCGTTGCGGCGTTTCAAACACACACACGCTCCTCCCACAGCCAATCAGCGCGCGCGCCGGCCCCGGGGGCTGTCGGGAGTTCTCCCGCCGCGGAAGCAGTGCCGGGGTGTGGAGCCACCGCGCATGCGCCTTTCGAGGCGGGCGGCGCTGCCTGCGCCCCGATCCCCGCGCATGCGCAGTGCGCGGCGGCGGCGGGCGCGGAGCGCGGTCGGCGCCGAGGGAAGCCCCGGGAGCAGCGGGAGCGCTCCCACCGCCACCGCGGGCAGCGGCACCGGCTGCAGCCGCTGGAGGAATCGGCCGCCCCCGGGCCGCCCCCGGGATGCGGCGCTGCTGCGGCCGCCCCCCCCGCCGGGCTCGGCGCGGCCCCGGGCTGAGCCCGCGGCGCCGCCCGCGGGGCCTGTAGGGCCGGGGCAGCGGCGGCCCGAGGAGCCGCGGCGGCCGCCGGCGGTGAATGGGCGCCGCCGCGGGGCGGAGGAGCCGGAGCCACCGCCGCCGCGATGGCTCAGGAGAAGATGGAGCTGGACCTGGAGCTGCCGCCGGGGAGCGCCGCGGCCCCGGGCGACGGCGGCGGCCTGAGGCGGTCGAACAGCGCCCCGCTCATCCACGGGCTCAGGTGAGGGGCCCGGGGGGCTCAGCCAGCCCCGGGGTCGCCGCTGCCCGCCGGGGCCTGGGCCAGGCCCGAGCTCCCTCAGCGGCCTGTGGATCGTGTCCCTTGTCCCGCGGGGCCGCCGGTGCCCCCTTGTCCCCTTCCACTGCTGGCCGCGCTCCCGGCGACAGCAGCGCTCCCGTTCAATAAAATGGTGTTTGCAGCGCTCTGCAGGCTGCAGCGCGTGTCACAGCACTCTGGAGCTGTAAGTAAAGCGCACCCAAAAAAGCTGCTCACAAAACTTTGTTTTCTCCCCCTGCAGTGACAACTCCCAGGTGTTTCAGCCTTACGTGTTGCGGACTCGCAGGAACAGCACAACAGTTATGAGCCGCCATGGAATGGTGAGGAATCTGAAGCATGTCATGTTTACACACATCAGGGCATAATTGGAGTAGAGAAATGAAGTTAAACTTGATTTGTATTTGCACTAAGTATCCTAGCAAGCTTCCAAGCTGCAGAATAAGCAGTTTTTCATCTCTAACTGCAATGTATAGTGAAATAATACTGGTATGTTGACTGTCTCCAAGAAGACAAGAGTAGTTGGCATTTTATGTGACTCCCCATATTAAGTCCAATTTTAAATTTAGGCCTGTGTTAGAAGAGTAAAATGCTGTCAGAATTAAGTGTCCTGAAAGGGTGTTTTACTGTGTTCTGAAAATGGGCAGTGTCATGGTTCTTTGTTGACCTGTTTGACATAGTGCTCTTTTTTTGCAAAGGCAGAACACTAGACCTCAGAAAATCCCTGAAAGAAGAGAGATTTATTTGTTGCTCTCTGGTAGTGTACACTACTGCAGTTGTTAAACTTTTCAGAAATGTTCCATTTCTTTTTTCTACCCTATCCTTGTCAGGTGAGGCATTTGTGTGCTCTTTCCACTGAAATTTTTCTGTCTTGTCTGAGGATAGTGAAGATTGAATATTGCATTTCTCAAAACCCTAAATTCCTGACATAAGTTTCCTCTCTGTCTTCTGTTCAGGAAAAGTGACAGGGACTTTTAATTCAAAGTCTTCTGTTGTGAGACTTGTTAAGAATCCAGAATTTTGGAGCATGTCAGTAGGTGTGACACTGGACATGTGGCCATCCTGAATGGGAACTGTTGGCACATTTGTATGTGATGTTAGAGTTCCAGAGGAATTAAATGCATAAAATTGCACACAATTGAAAACTTGCAGAAGTTAAGCTTTAGGGAGTGTTGTTCAAGACTGGGTTGAAGCCCTGAGATTTC